TCAAAGAGGGTGTATTTTCTTTTTCACATGACTGTAAATGCAACTGGGTTTTCCCATCAAATTTAGCTACCGGGCTAAGTGTCCGGTAATGATGGGAAACTGTTTTCCTCACAGAAAAGGAAAATGAGTACTCAAATGAGATATGCATTTCAAGTCCTACATTTTATTTAAAAAACGGATGTCATGTAATTGGCATGTGTTTCAAGTCAATATTCGTGTTTTAGGGAAGAAAGGGAAGCCGGAAAGGGGTATCCAATACATGCCTGCGCGTGTTACCTGATTTGTCCACACCAGGATGGGGCCAAGAGATTCCAGCTCTGTCTCAAAAGAGATTAAAAGAATGCGGGGGGGGACGGGACTCCACAGGGCAGCAAAGGTCTAAAGTAAGGGTTACTGTAACTAGTATTAATTTTTACTCTAACATTAGTACATAGTGAACTCTTTCCAGAAGGTAGCTTCAGCCAAATTCTTACTTTTCGTTTTCCAGGGCATTCAGAGTGGCTTTGGAATTAAAGCTGAGACATGGGAAGACAAGGGAGACGCCATGAATAGCCATCATCACGCAGCCCGCCACAGATCCCAGGCAGTGGTAGAGAGGGACTGGGAGGCAACAACGTGCTCCCTAGGGTCAAAGCAAACAAGACAGGAGTGAGTCACCCTCCAATATAAGCCGTCATCATATTTATAATTTTTTATCCCAGAGGCAAGAAGAATCCCTACTGGAGATTTAGGGGGGAGAGAGTTGGAGTTACATGAATGGGAGAGTGACCAGAGGAGGGAACAGGGTAGCTTGGACTCCCTCAGTTCCTAGCTTTCCAGAGAATATTAGTTTCATTTTTAGATGAGAATTCCCATATAAGAAGTACCTTAGAATTAAGCAGTCAGAAACTTTTTCAGGATAGGAATATCCTATAAAATGTTCATATTGGTGGCGTGTACAAAGGCCTGGTCTTCTAGAATTTGATGGCAAAACATATGACTGCTCCTTATATAGTTCTTTGAAAAACATCTACGTTATCAATCCTCAAATTAGTAAGAGAGAACTTGAAAATTGTGACACACTGACTTTGAGATGTCTTTTTAAACTAAGAGAACAATGATGCATCATTTGATATAATCATGAAAAATTCTCTCATCTCTAGAGATAGGATTTGAAGAGTTTCCATTCTGAACATAAAGAATAGGTGGAGAAGACTTACTTTCTCACTGACTCCCAGCCTTATACCAATCAAGTTTGCATTATTCACAATGTTATAGTGAGAAAGTGTTGCTCCTTTGGGGCTTCCTGTTGTTCCCTGAAAGGAAGAGAGAATTGATTTAGCAATTAGGATCTCACCCTAGCACATTATGAAAGTTATAAGTAAGAGATCAGTTGCTTGAAAACAGAATGCTATAATGATGTCCCAACTCTGCAAAACCCTAGTAATACAAGACAATACAAGTTAGGTTTCAGAAAGATAGGAAGAGTCACACTGCAGCCCAAACAACTAATAGAAAGGAAAGGAGTAAGAGACCATCCAAAGAGGACTGAGTGGAAAAATGAAAGAATAGAGGATAGGTGATTCTAGTTCCAAGAAGGAATGGAAAGAAGACGGTGATTTTAATTCTCAAAGAGGCAGGAAAGAGGCCCAGAAAAGTGAAAACAAATATAGGCTCTGTCTGGTAGGATTTGGTGGTTTCCAGAAATCAATCAGGGTTGCAATCTTGGGTCTCAAGCCTTGACTTTTTGGCTAGAAATTCTTCTTTAATGTGGTTGGGATTCTCTGTTGATCAAGTCATAAGTTGCCTACATTCTCCTCAAAATACTAGGGCATTATTCTAAAATTAT